TCCGCTAATTTCTCTCTTTTTTTTTTTTTCCCCCAAGCCGGCGAGAAGAGCAGACACTCGCGCGCGAGCTCTCTGAAGTCGAGCGCCAGGCCCCGCCTCCGTTTTAGCTTTGCTAGCCTTCAAACGCAGCCTTCTCCCCACGCAGGGCATCATCGACAACTCCGTGCTGGGCTACTTCATCGGCAGGATCTACTTGTACCTGCTCAAAGTGGGTCTGCGCAAGGACAAAGTGCGCTTCCGCCAGCACATGGAGAACGAGATGGCCCACTACGCCTGCGACTGCTGGGACGCCGAGGCCAAAACCTCCTACGTGAGTCGCCGTCGCCGCCCCGCCCGCTTCCGACCCCGCCGGCCGCTCTTTCAGCACGCCACGTCCTCCTTCAGGGTTGGATCGAGATCGTGGGCTGCGCCGACCGCTCCTGTTACGACCTCTCGTGTCACTCCCGTGCCACCAAGGTGCCCCTGGTGGCCGAGAAGCCGCTCAAAGAACCCATATCCTGGGAACTCGGCCTTTCGGCGAGTCGTAACCCGATGCGGGCAAAACTCCTTTGCACATCTTCCAAGACTTGGTGCTCGATACCGCACCGGCGTGGAAAGGGGAGTTCGCAACATTGCCGGAAAGCTTCCGCCTGAATGTACCAACGCCTTCTTGCAATCTGCCGCGAGCAGATGCGGAACTTGACGTCGTCCTTCATATGTTTTCTGTCATCCGTGGTGGGTGCTGCCGTTTCGGTTAGCGACAGAATTCAGACGCAGCGGCGAATCGCGTCCCTCGGACGTTGTAAAGAGAGAGAGAAAAACTGATGCGATGCGTGTAGTTGCTCATTTGGAATTGGGCGCCCGCAGCCTCAGAGGGAGCGCGGCCTTCGGTGAAACGACCGTCTTCCCTCGGCAGCGCGCTGTGCTTTTTCCTTGACTCATCCACACAAGGTAGTCAACGTCGTGAAGTTCGAGCCCAACAGGGGCGCCATCGGAGCGGCGTACAAAAAAGACGCCAAGCTGATCTTCGACTACCTGGACGCGTGCGACGAATGCTTCATCGGCGACGGGGAGAAGCGTCTCAACGAAAGCGGGTAATTGCTCTTTCTTCAGGCCAACGCTGTCCGGTCTGCGGGGGGCCGGTGAAAAAAAACAATTGCCATATCGCGGCCGCCCAAGCGTGCACACCCGCAGTGCCAAAGAAGCGTGCGTATTCAGAATGAAGCAACGCCACTCATGGTGACGCGAGCGAGCGTGCGCACAGCATCCAACAGCGCACAACCTTTGCGCTTTTGTCACAAAGCCATCCCAAGAAGCCCCCCCGCGAGAACAGCTGGACTTCGGAGGTGGCACGTGATGCGAGCCCACCCCCCACTTAACATGACTTTTAATTGGCTAGTTGGGCTGTACGCACAAGATCGCACTTTCATTCTCCTTCGCCTTGATTGTGTTGTTTTTCCAGTCAAGTTGGGCAGATGCTCCCAAAGTTTTGAAAGGAAAAAAAAAAAGGGGAGGGGTGTTGTCTTTTGCTATCCACCTCATGCAGAGAATTCAGCGTGTCAACGGAGGGCAAAACGTTCAAGCTTTCCACAGACATGGTCGCCGTCAGGAGATTCCAGAAAACGTTACACGGTCGGTTAAAAAAGAAAAAAAAAAGCCTTGGGGGGGGTGTTCCTCTCCATCGATTGCTTGTTTGGATTCAGCGTGATCGATTTGCTTTGCAGTATTTCAGTTTTCCGGCCACCGTGTCCCCGTACAAATGCTGCATCCTTCCTCTGAGCCAAAACCAAGACTTCACACCCTTTGTCCAACAACTCTGTGAGTTGTCCGCTTTCTCGCACGCACGCAAGTGACAAATTGAAATCAGGTCGATTCAAGCAAAGCTGATGAAAACATCAATATGCATAAATTCCATCAAATTAGTTTAAAAAAAAAAAAAAAGCTATTTTGTCATCATTGGAATAAAAATGAAGACCGACAATTCAAATAAAATATTCGATTTTGAAAAATGAATTTGGTTTAATCAAAAAGTATTATCCCAAAGAATCAAGTAAATACATTCATTAAAAAAAAAAAGCTTATATGACATTCTAAATACAATAAGGCTGAGATGATATCATGTAAGATCATAAATTGACCTCAACAAAATCAGCAAAGAAAAAGAAGAGGTGTCAGACAAAAAAAGAGCGTGACCCTAAATGAATCTTACCTTTTTCCACGGCATTTTGAACGAAATGAGACCGAGATCCCAAGATCAAGGATCGACCTGAAATGTTGCGCAGGAAATTTTGTGACCTAAAAAAAAAAAAAAAAAAAAAGAGACAAAAGTCAGTCCCCCACCACCAGGTGGCAGTCAGCACACAGTGCCTTTCAAGTCTCCTCACCTCGAGCCTTTCCATCGGATCGAATCAAACCCATCGTATCGTTTTGCTGTCGGTCCTCCTCAGCCGAGGCCCTGACCCGAAAGGGCGTGTCCCACAAGGTGGACGAGTCGTCGGGGTCCATCGGCAGGCGCTACGCCCGCTCCGACGAAATCGGCGTGGCCTTCGGCGTCACCGTCGACTTCGACACCGTCAACAAGACGCCGCGCACCGCCACCCTGAGGGACCGAGACTCCATGAGGCAGATCCGCGTAGAGGTACGTCCTGCCGCGACACGCCACACCGGGACGGGACGCGCGGCGCGACCCGCGATCGAGCGCAAATGCCGGCGCGGCCGTTCAATGACTTGGCGCCATTTGCGCCCACGACACCGAGGTCGGAACGACGCGGCGTTTTTCAAATCAGAGTTAGTTTGAATCGACTGGCTTCGGTTGTTGTTGTTTTTTTTGGGGGGGGGGGGCGCTGTGGGAGTCATATCCTGCATGTCCATATCGTGATGCCGTGGTACTAATGAGGAACCCGGTGGTGGTGCAGGTGGACGCTTTGCCTGGGCTGATCTGGTCCCTGGCCAACGGCGAGAGCACGTGGTCTCAGATGGAGCTCCAGTACCCCCTCTTTGAAGGGCAGGAGACCGGCAGGAAGGAGTGACGGGCAGCGTGCGCTCATCTGCCGAGAAAAAAAACAAACAACAACAACAAAAAAACGAAGCCGGAAGGAGTCGTTGAAAGGGCTCCAAGACAACGGAAAGTCATCGAGAGCCGCACTTGTCGCTGCCTGTTTTCTAATAAAGGAATTCTGGTTCTCCCCGCCGTGTCCTCTTTTGGAGTTGCCCGTCTATTTTTACCCCTTTGTGTGTTGTTGTGCGGAATGCAAAGCTTTTTGATCCGAGATTTGGTCGCATCGCTATTCGATTCTCAAACGGTCGCACGCCGACGCCAAGAGCAGTTTGGTCGGCTTGGCCTTATTTGCGCCGTCGCCGCCGAGAGGCCTCCGGGGCGTTTGCATTCGTCTCCGAGCGCCATTCGGTTCGCGCCGTTTATTTCGGCGCAATGTTTGGAGAGGACTTGGACGCCTCGCGCTCGCGTCCCCGGGAAGGGCATCGAGTCCCGCCCACCCGGCCTTTGTGGCCCCGCCCCTCTTTGTCAGCAACAGTATACAAGTCCGGCAAGGCGCCTTTGCGAGCGCCGGCAGGGAGTCCCGCGGGCACCTTTGGTCTGCCTTGAATATTTTGGAGCGTTTGGAAGAATTGGCACGTTTTGTTGAAGCGACCTCCGCTCAGTTCAAGGTCAGTGCGACAACAGGTGTTTGCCGAGGACAGAGTGCGGCGCGTGACCGGCCGCGGCGCTATTTCGAGGCACGCGTGGGACTCAAACACCTTCATTTCCATTCCCCCCCTGCGAGACTTTGATTGTCTTCAAAGTCAGGCTCGGCGACGGAGAGCTTGCGCGTGTGCTCGGAAGGAGCCGGCAGCTGTGCTTTCCTCGAGTCTAACGAGCGCGAAGGCCACTCTTCTTGCCTTGATTGGCGGCTCAGGTGAAAGAAAAAGCAAAGCGAGCGGCTCACACTCGCTTTTGGATGCGACGGCGGGGCCGTCGGACGAGGGTGGCCTTCCAAAGTAAAGGTCAAGTGCCAAAGCACAGCAGCTGTGCTCGCTGGGAGCAGAGCGGTGCGGCTTCATAGCGCACCTCAAACGGAATTTAGCAAATCAACAAAGAAAGCGGTCGCCTCGGGCGTCTCTTGCCGTCGCCTCGCCATTGTCATCGATAGGTACCGACCGGCAGGATTCAACCTGTCGCTGGTGAACGGAAAACTCCGGGCGCCCTCCCAAATAACCGGACCGTGACGTGCACCCAGTCGGTGGGCCTATTTAAAGGGTGACAAGCCGGCGCCTTGCGCGCGTCCCGCACTGAACGCGGAACAGAGAAAGCGCCAAGCGTTGGGTCCGCCCGGGCAAATTCCGATGCCAGACTCGGATCAAAAACGTCCCCGGGCGGATCGGAACTCCTGCGTACTGCGCGGCGACGGCAAAATGCCACGGTGGACAAAAGTATCGGGACACGCGCCGGCGTCTTCCGCGCCGCACTCGATGAAACTTTGCATAAAGAGGGCGGGCGTGTCTGGATGCATTTGCAAACAAGAAGCGCGTCGCGCCACGAATGGCCCGAGGTCTGGCGTCATTGACACAGGTTAAACCAGTTTGGGGGTGTTTCAATGCGCATGCGTGCTTAGGAGCTTCTTTTTCTTTTTTTGGTGTCGTTTTGCCCGAGGTCCCGGGGGGTGCGCGTGAGCGTCTTTGTGTCGTCATGGCGATCAAAGCGGCGCTTCCCAAATACGAGCTGTACTTCTACAAGGCCGTGCTGGCCTCGGCCCTGCTGTGGTCCACCCGCCGGATCTTTGAGGCGTCCGCGTGTGAGTATGACGCCACGCGGCCGGCGTATGGCCACGCTCAACTGAAAGCATGATCGCGATCAATCCGTTCTTCTATTTTTTGGATGCAGCAACGGTGCAAGCGTTTTTGATTCACACGAGCCGTAAAATCAGAATGTGTGTGGAGCCTTTTCTCCATTTGTTCCTAATCCTGAGCATGTTTTCATTCATTTTTTTTCCTGATCACTTTTTCGGTTGCCCCCGGTAAAACCGCTAAGACCGCTTGCTCGAGCATTTGACTATTCCTTCACGGTTCGCATTTGCGTTGGGTTTCTTTTTCTTGTTCCGTCCCAGCCAACGTCGACAGAAAAGCCTTCAGGTCCAGCGTGAAGCCAGGCTGGTACTACTTGGGCCGGAAAATGGTAAGCGGCGGCCTTGGAGAAAGTGAAAGAGAAAGAGAAGGGAAGCTTTTGCCTACCTGGCATTTGGGGTGGTCCGCCCTCCCAGGACACGGCCGACGGGGAATGGGCCATGTGGATTTGGACCTTCCGGGCTCACATCGCCTTCGCTCTGTGCGGCCACGTGCTGTTCGCCAAGCTCTGCTCCATGCTGGCTCCTCAGGTGGGGGGCCGGAAGGCGGCGCGCGGGGCCGAGGGGGCCGGCTTGGAATGACCCTCTACCTGCCCCCGTTGCTCCACAGCACCGGTCCCTGGCGTCCATGGCGTACGGGCTGGCGGCGGTGTGGACCAGCATGGGCTGGACCTACGTCACCCTGGTGCTGTCGCACTGCGTTCTGCTCTACAGCATCTCGCTGGTCAAGATCCGCCGGCTGTGCTTGGTCGCTGGCTTTTGCACGCTGGCCACGTTTAAGTGCGAGCCCTTCGTGTCCTGGCAGGTACGCCGGCCGGCGAGGTCCACCGCATTCGGGAGCTTTCGAGGCCACGCTCTTCAAGTCACGTCGCACTTCGCTCGGCGTGGCAAACGAGGGGTCTCGTGCCTCATTTTGCGGATTTTGTTTTGTTGCTTTCCTGCCGAGGTTCAAACGGTTCCGTTGGGATGCTCTCAAATGACTTTGCATTTGCTGGCTTTCGAACGACCGCTCAGGTTGCGCTTTCAACGGAAGCTCTTCCTGTTCCGAGAGGCACGCTAAGAACTTGCTCACAGGGGAAAAAAAAATATCCTGGCGTCGGCTTGAAGCGGAAGCCTCTGAACAACGGCGGCTGCGTTCGGCGGCGACCTCGAAAGAAAAACACATTTCGCTTTTTTTTTTCCTGATCCAATTGTGTGTGGGATT